ATCCTATTCATGGTCTTTCACGAAAGTGCGATTTTCAGATGGTAATTTATGTGGCCGTTCGCAACACTGGGCTAAGTACTCTGGAGGCCTTCGGAAAGTTGGGGCTTTCGCATATACTGAGTTGTGGCTTGTGTGTCAAACGAATGAATGAAGACATTTATTGTACATTTTTGTCCCATTGGGCTAAGCACAGGACACATGTTTACAAAGTATATACTAGTAAATGTAAATATGAACGTATAGAATACACAAGTACTTTCGACTTCCTCTCGCTTCTTGGTAATCGCATAAATGTAGTTGGCTGTGTTATTAGTTAGAGCTGTTTTATCGAAGACTTTAAGGAATATGAATTTCTCCATACTATTCAAATACACGAACTTAAAATGGTAAAACTTAATTTCGCTATCATACAAAGAACAATCCGCAATAAAATGTACCTCATGATACATCTTCTACTTTACCTAAACTACAAAATTACTACCTACCTACCGCTCCACCGCAAAATTAAATGTAATTCAATCAGAAGTACTAGTGACACTCTCTTCTGATTGGCTGAGCAGGGTAGATATATACGTTCTTATGAACATTCGATCACATATGCCACAAGGCACTATAAAACTAGTAAAGGTCTCCATTCATTCATTATTAGGAGCCCCCCATCATAGGTTATTTTTGGTCAGCCCTGTCATTAACCTGGGTGCCAGACTAATCCAGGGTCTATACAGGTCAGCTCCTTGTCTCCAGGACCAACATGTCATCCCAGAAGTTTTATCACAGCTTCCCAGAGTTAGACATTCAAAACTGGGGGCAGAGTGGGGTAAATTTGGGGCATGTTAAGCCCTAAAACCGAGGAGCTGGCCTGTGTAGGCCCTAGAAACAGTCTGGCGTCCAGGCTCCCCTGTGGTTCACTGGTTTCAAAGCCTTTGATCCTCTGCGTTTATGTTGACAAAGACGAGCTAATCTCCGAACGCCATCCATCGCCCTTAATTGGGATTAACCAAATCCCTTGTCCACAATTCATGTGAAGGACCTCCGAGTGTCAGAAAATACGATTCCGATAGATAAAAATCAAAGTAATTCGGGCAGTTGTTGAAAACCTACGAAATATAACTCTATTTGGCAACTGCTAGTGTAAGTTCCGTATACCACCGCTGCCACCAGTGTAAGTTCCGTATACTTAGCAGACAAGGAGGCCAGACGATGAGTAGTGTGGAGCTGAATCTACTAGTATTCTGCTGTAGAACAAATTATACACAGCTTTCCATGTGCTCTATAGTTCACCTCTGACCCCGGGTTGGCTCATTCTAACCCGGGGGGGTTCTACTTCTGTGCCTTACACTAGTAATACTGGGAGTTCAAACGCCAGAGAAAGTGTTCACTAGTGACTAGACAGGTTGAAATACAGCAAGAGAATGAATGAGTGCAATCGTATACATTGTGAAGTTAAAGTACACATTCAAAGAACAACATAATAATAATACAGGCATTTTGCTGAAATTATAGGATCACAGATCACATATCAAATCAGCGAAATAGAATACAAAACCGTAACAACAGTACATGACGTTTTCCTTTGTAAAAAAAAAAAGCGCGATAACGGATAAGTCATTTCGGTAGCGGCCAAGCCAAGGGAGTCCAATATGTTATACCATGGTTATACCAACCTGTTTGGTTA